GGATCGCTTGAGCCCAGGAGTTTGAGGTTGCTGTGAGCTAGGCTGAAGCCACGGCACTCTAGCCTGGGCAACAGAGTGAGACTTTGTCTCAAAAAAAAAAAAAAAAAATTGTAGTGCTAACAGGAATGCAGAAGTTCTCCATCCAACTCCTAACTTCATGTATGAGGACATTGAAATTCAGAAAATGTGACTTCCCAAGGGTAATGTAGGCTATTTTCTAAAAAAATCTGTTGTATTAGTTAGCTTTTGGTGCATAACAAACTACCAGAAACTTAGTGGCTTAGAACAAGAACCATCCATTTAATTTGCAATTATGTGGGTGAGCAATTTTAGTCTGGGCTCAGCTGGGTGGTTCTTCTGGTCTCTAGGAGGCTCACATGTTTGTGGTCAGCTGCTTGTCCTTACCCTGGCACTATGATGCTAGCCCTGCTCGATCCTTATTATTTCTCTGGAACATTCCCTAAAGTTGGCTCAACCTTCTTATCTTTAGGAAAACAGAATGAACTAAGCAACCTACTATTTGAAATTTTATGATATCAAATTGAAAATATACTTCATATGACACATAGCACCATGTCTATAAAATAATGAATTTTCCTCTAAGAGCAAGAGAGGAATAAAATGTGGGTCTTGCTGTGGTGGCTGTTTGACTATGTTGCTATTCTTTCCAGGGATTCACAAGATATCAAGAAATTAAAAAACAAACAAACAAACAAACAAACAAAACACCAAAATTAAGGCCAGGCATGGTGGCTCACTGCTGTAATCCTAGGACTTTGGGAGACCAAAGCCGTAGGATCACTTAAAGCCAGGAGTTCAAGACCAGCCTGAGCAACATAGAGAGATCCCGTCTCCACATAAAAATAAAAAAAATTAGCCAGGCGTGGTGGCATGAGCCTGTAGTCCCAGTTACTCAGGAGGTTGAGTCAGGAGGATCATTGAGTCCAGGAGTCTGAGGTTGCAGTGAGTTGTGATCATGCTAGTGCACTCCAGCTTGGGTGAAAGAGTGAGACCCTGTCTCTAAAAAAAGAAAAAAAAATCTGAACAAACAAACAAAAAAGCCCCACCAAAATTAACACAAACAAAGCATACACATACTCCCAATGACAAGCCCTGGGAACAAAACGATATTTGCTGACTTTATAATTTTCTAGCCAAACAGGGCATTTTGTTGAGTGGATACTTGCTTATAGTGAAAGTAGTTAACTATTGATTGTGTTTAATTTTTGGTGCATGTTTCAGTTGGTTAATTATTATAATTAGAATATTGTCAAATATCATGTATTACTCTCTCTTTTACTTTCTCCCTGCCTTTATTTTATAAATTGAAAATAATACGTCCGATGTATTTATAGTACAATATAAGCTTCATTTTTAATGGTTCCATTTTTTTTACATGCTGTTGAGTATGTAGTTTTTTTTTTGTGGCACAGATCCTAAAAAGAAGGAATTTAATGTATGTAGTACTATACGTAATCTCTAAAAATACTGCATGCATTTTGCTAAAACAGCAAATTTCACATAGCTCATGGGGTTATGTCTTTGTTTACTTTTTAGATAGCAGGCAAAAGTATAGGTAGAGGTAATGTTTAATTTGTCTTAACAGAAACATTCCAAATAATGTCACTGCAAGTCCTACATCCAAGCCAGCGACCACGATGAAGCCAGTGACCACAACAAAGCCGGTGACCACCACGACAAAGCCAGTAACTATCGTAAATCTGCCATCTGTGAAGCCAGCCCCTCCGAAGGAGCCAGCCCCTGCAAAGCCAGCCCCTCCAAAGGAGCCAGTGCCTGCAAAGCCAGCCCCTCCGAAGGAGCCGGCCCCTGCAAAGCCAGCCCCTCCGAAGGAGCCAGCCCCTGCAAAACCTGTGGCTGCCAAGCCTGTGGCCACAAAGACGGCCACGGTCAGACCTGCGGTAGCGGCGAAGCCAGTGGCAGCAAAGCCTGCAGCAGCAGCGAAGCCAGCAGCTGTGAGACCCCCTGCTGCTCCTGCAAAACCAGTGGCCACCAAGCCCGAGGCTTCTAGGCCACAGGCAGCCAAACCAGCCACCACCAAGCCAGCCACTGCGAAGCCCGTGGGTAAGAAAGCCTTGTCAGCGCCGCCACCTTGTTACGTCCTCAAGGCCTGGTTGTAAAGCAATTGGAATGTAACATTGATCTGAGGTCCGTACATACGGATGATGTATTTTAAAAGGTGCTGGTCAGAGCATGGAATTGTCAGAACATTGTTTTTTTTCTATGTTAGAAAGCAGTCTTTGTCTTCTGATCCTCCGAGTTCCTAGAGGCTGGCGAGTGCCGGAGAAAGCGCAGCCAAAATGGGTCTCCGGCCTCTGCCGCCTCCTTTCTCCCACTCCCCAGGCCACGCCCCCAACCCCGCCTTGGGGTTGACAAGTGGGATGACAGTGGGGCACAGCCCACCTCACCTGGAAATTGAGTTGTCTTAATCTAAAGGGAAGAGGTTCTGTGTCGAAGTAGGGTTTCAGACACTATTTAGGGAGTTAAAGAGAAAGAAAGAGGAAGCCCTGCTGATGGTTCTTAGACGGCGCAGAGGCAGTTTCTGTGCTTGCTGTCTGCAGCCAGACCCTCCTCCCCTAGAATATGACTTGCAAAGATCTGACTGGAGCCCTCTATTAACCGCAGGCTTTGTCCCTGCCGTGACACACACACCTGCAGAAACGGAACCCTCCGCTGTGTGCTGAGGAGCTTACAGGGTTTAGTTCAGCAAACTGCAGGGTCGGAGCCTGGCTGGTCAGCCCTGCCCAAAGGCTGAAACCCACACTGCTGCTGACCATGAGAAAGAAGGTTTCAGACTGAACTAGGGTCAGAGTGTGTTATTTCATCCTTTCCTCGGAGAAGATGTTAGAAGACTCTAGAGGGTCACAAGCTGCATAGGAAGGCTCACAAAAAGATGGAAATTATCTTCATTTTTATAAGCAGAGAGTAAACGGAGATTCCTTTAAAAGAAATTCGTGTCATGCCCTAAAATTTCATGACTTAATGTATTTTAAATGATGGGGCTCATTTTGCATTGAATACAACTTGCGATTAGCATGCTGGGCCTGGCGTTTTCAAAGTATCTTCTCAACAGCAGATATTTTTAATAGAAAAACAAAAGACAGCTATGTACCTTGATGAACAAAGAGATTTTTAATTACGGCAAGTTTCACATTTCATGTATGCGGTTAGATGACAAAACCAACGTGTTTTAGGAGCTTGAACAAGAAGTCAGTTCCCTGCCTCACCTGAGTTTGATATTGGCTGTCTGTTAACACACCGCCTCCAGCTGTTCTCTCTCGCCCGCGTGCCTCAGGCGTGCAGGATTTTGTGTTTTACCTGCACGCTCTGCTTTGGTCTATCTTCCAGCGAAGGCGTCCCGGGAAGTGCAGGTGTCCGAGATCACGGAGAACAGCGCCAGGATCCACTGGGAGAGGCCCGAGACCCCGAGTTCTTACTTCTATGACCTCACAGTCACCTCAGCCCACGATCAGTCCCTGGTTCTGAGGCAGAACCTCACGGTCACCGACCGCGTCGTCGGGGGCCTGCTCGCCGGGCAGATGTACCACGTGGCGGTGGTCTGCTACCTGAAGTCGCAGGTCAGAGCCACCTACCACGGCAGTTTCAGTACAAGTAAGTACGCGGTGGGTTTGGGGAACGCCATACCTGATTTATACGTGGACTATCACACAGGACATAAAGGGAACATTCTTATTTATTGAATCTACTCTGAAATAGCAACAAAATTTAAAAAAATAGCCCACAAGCTCTGGGTGATTTGGTGGCACCCTAACTTTATAAAACGACAGAATGGAAAATGGGATTGCATGTGAAATGTGGCCCTGCCCTCGGGGTCCTGGGCTACTGGATGGAGGATCGGGTGGCCTGAGCATGGCCCCTTCCAATGTAGCCCCTGGCGGCGGCTCTGTGCTACCCGCCCTGCCCATGTTCCCTGTTCAGAGAGCGGAAAACACCAGCTAGTCGGTGGCTCCCTGGGGAGTGACAGAGGTGCCCGTGGAGTCTCACTGCCCCGGGGCAGAGGGATGTCCTGCGCTCCTGCAGAATCGGCCTCCTTGGTCCTGCTGCGCTCGGGCTCTGCCCTCTGCTGGCTGCTGTCCCTACAGCTGCCCCGCTGCGCTGAGGCTGCCCTCAAATGCTCTCCCAGCCTTTCTCAACTATTCATGGTCCCTTCTCTCTCTCCTTTCCAAGTTCTCCTCCACGCCCCCTCCCACTCTTCTTGACGCCTCTGCTCTAGGGACATGGAGGGGGAGCCTCCCCTTTTCTCTTGGAACCATGCTAAGGAAAGGGAATTCCCATCCACACCACAATTAGGCCCCAGAGAGACAAGTCCAAAGACCCACCCGCCCTAAGGCTCTGTTCTCCTGAACGGCAGCAAAGAGGTGTAAGGGGCGTGCGCAGAGACTTCCTGCATCTCTGTCTTTCGGTGGCCACCCTCAGAGGAGACATTAATCAGGAAAGGCAACCTCACGCTGGTTGCTAAGGATTCCTAAGCCCTTCAGTTTCTGATTACCTACGAGTCACTTGTTATCTTTCTTTTACAGAAAAATCTCAGCCGCCACCTCCACAGCCAGCAAGGTCAGCTTCTAGTTCAACCATCAATTTAATGGTGAGCACAGAACCATTGGCTCTTACCGAAACAGGTGAGTTGTGAAAGTATCAGCTCCATTAATGGCACTAAGAAGGTATTCTTCCAAAGATTTTAAAGGTTTCGAAGTCTTGATACCAGGCCATCTTCCTGGGTTCCAATTCTTAGGGCAGGCATGACTTCTACGGGGAAAGGTCCAAAGTGGCTCTGTGCGGCCCAACGTAGTCTTACTCTGCAAACGTCCAGTTGTAAGTGGAGACTTACCTGGCCTGTCACCAGACTGTTAGTGAAAGTTCGATGGGAGTTGCTTTTGGGGTTATAGCCAGAATTCATGTGCCCACTAGTCATTTACCCTGTGCCTCATACTGGGCCTGGAGTGGATTTGTGGTCTGTGACACTGCGAAGAGTAGAGTTTTCATTTCATCTAATAAGAAACTGCTCAGAAGAGCATAAGACAAGCCAGAAATACCTGGGTTTGGGCCCAACCCATGGGATGGTCCTAATTCCCTCAGCACTGTGCTAGCCTCCTCTGTGACAGCACCGTCCGTGTGCCTGAGCCCCGGAGAGGTGCACATTCTGCTAAGTTAGTGACGAGTTAGGTGCAATTCAGGGATTGACAGCTGTAATTTGCTCTGTTCCTGGGTAGTGGGGCTCTGAGAGACCTGGAATCGCTCATTTAGCAGGATGTGAGCTTGGCTTGTTCTTCCACAAGAAAATGATTATTAAAATAGTCCTTATGCCTTGCTTAAGAATGTTCAGCAAAAGATGTTGGTATTAATATAAAAAATTGATATTGCATGGGAATTTAGATATACTATTGTTTTACAGACCTGAAGCAAAAACTTTCTGCTAACTATGGGGACGATTTTTCATTTTTTGTGTATCGGCCACAGTCAGGAGAAGGAAAGTGTATTATCTCTTTACAGTGTTTATTTCTACAGTTGGTTATGGTGAGTAGGCAGGTGTCGAGTGCCGAGCTGCTTTTGTGTTGTGCTAGATTTAGAAGTGGCTCTGCCTGTTCAATATGCATTGCGTTGTCAGAAGCAACAGCACATTGTTTTGGGGCTGTCAAATACCTGTTCTTCATTTTACTCTTTCCACTGTTTTTAAAATGATGTTTTTTCCCCTCCATCTGACCCTTTCTATGGAGTCTACGCCCTATCTCATTTATGTTTAAGTGAAATTAGATGGTTCTAAGTGTTTTCTGACTCTGCACCCGCCTCTCTTTGAGGCCACTGTGGGAGAATCCTTCTTTCAGAGAAAGCCTTCTTCCACTGGTGGACTCCCTGCGTCCACGTGTCTGTGTGTCTGTAGGACTGTCACCAGTTGTAGGCCACACCCATGCTGACACGTGGCATCAGCACTTGCTAGAAAGAAAGCAACTAAGTCAGTGCTGGAATTGTGGAACCATTGTACACACAGATGTTTAAGAAGGTAAATAAGTCACCTACTTATAGCTGAAAGGTGCTTAAAATAGTTTGCCTATTGACAAGTTTAGGAATTGGCCAGTATTAGCGACAGCTGTGCGTTTTTCACACTCCTCTAGCCTTTCCAGTGGAAAGACTGAACCAGAAACTTCTTAATAGAAATTTATGAAAATGAGCCAGGAATTCATGATAGCCTGGGTAATTGAGTTTAACTTCTTAGAGATTGTATAAAAAGATTTTACAAAAAAATTTTAGTGTTGGGATTTTCAGCTTAAATTAAAAAAATGGAAGTAGGCGTGTGCCACGAGGGTTGGGTGGAGAGGGAAGAAGAAAATTCGAGGCTCAACCCTCTTGCTTTCTGCTCATACGTAGTTTTCTGAGTCCCAGGTCACAGGACCAGAGCTGAGCCTTTGGCCTCTGCACCGGCGACATCCGGCAGCTCCTGTCACACGGGGTCCCTCCTGCGTGAGCCCCTCCCGCCAGCCCAACGTGGTGCGTGAGCTCAAAGCGAAGCCACAAGGGCCACACTAGATCTCCCACAGAGCTGTGGGTCAGGACAGATCCAGCTCTGACTGCAAAGTCGCTGAAACCTGTGCATACTGTTTCCTGCTCACTGGTTAACTCTACCCCAGCATAGCGCGGGAAATATAAAACTTCCAGCCAATCCGCTGTTTCACTGAGAGAAATGACTGGGACTAAACCAGACAGCAAGATTTGGGGATGTTTTTGGTTCTCTTATGGGTGGTGCGGAGGGATAAGAATATATAAATGGTGTGCAGTTAACACAAACAACACAATCTGTAAGCAGGAGTCTGGCTGGGCTGGTTATTTTTATTTTTATTTTTTTAAATACTGAGTTGTGAGGTTCAGAATTAGGAAGGTGCTTTGATCCAGTCCTTTAACACTTAGATCTCCTCTCTCCATGTGATAAAGATAAAAGAGTTTTTGTAATTGGGGCTCATGTTTCATTCAAGGCTACACGTTGTTTGTTATAGATGAACCTAAAATCCTTTTCCTTCACACCGATTAGTGTGTAACCCTCAAAGCCAGGGTACACATGTCCTCTCGCCATTTCACGTGTGTGTACGTGTATGTGTGTGCCCATGCATCTGCGTGTATCTCCTACCCAGTGCAAAGATGCAAATTCTTGTTTTTCTTGAGAACAAGTCCCTGCATAACGGACCTCGGGAATCCGCACGGTAACCAACAGCGTTTTCCCTGGAGAAGGCGCTTCGGACAGGTCAGCCCCATGAGTATATGTAGCTGTGCCCACGTACACGTCACTTTTGAGAGCTCTTTTTGAATTAAATTAATTGGATACCTACTTTAAAATGTCTACAATTCGAAATGTACTGTCCAAATTAGGAGATGAAAGCTTATCTTCCCCCCTCGCCCGCTCCCCCCTGGTTATTGTCATCTTGGCCATTTTCCTCAGAGGGGTAAAATATTTTAATGATTTTTATATTTTTAGAGATAGAAAAATGAGTGGCAACTAACCACTCTTTATTAAATAACTTAAAAAAATAGTAACTGCGTTCTTATTCAGTAGTTGCGGGTATATTTTGCATCCAAATATCAGTGACCACAATATGTATTATTTCTCCAAAGATGTGTTTTCTAGATAGTTGAGGCACAGTGAAGCTTTGAAGCTAGCTTTTCTATACGGACATATACGCATTTTAATTCCTCTTACATTCCACAACATCCACTAAGTAGAAACATGCCTTACGTTTGCAGAGATGGGTTCCTTTCTTAGTATTACGTGCTTGATACTATTGCTTGCTTGTTTTACCTCTGTGAATAAAAGATTCTGTCTTAAGGACCTGTACTTTTCGTAGTTTGCCACTTTAGATTTAGGAAATGTAGTGACCTCTGTTTGAATCTATGCGGGAATCTGTGGGCAAAACCGTTGTGAAATGACAGAGTCCCTAGTACTGGTCACCTGCTGCAGGGGAGAAGAGGTGACCAGGGTTAACACCTGAGTTTTCATTCACATACGTTCACGTTTGCCCTTTGGGAATTCACATTTAATAGACACTTGTTTATCAGGAAATTGACACAGGCGCACACTGCGAGGACAGTCTGGTTAGGGGATTCTTTGTCCCTAAGTCGTGGCCCTGTTTGGGACAAGGGCTGTGTGTGGGACGGAGACCTCAGCTTCGAGACGAAGGTCGATTCCATAGCAGACCTGTGGCGTCATTACTGACATTCAGGATCCCGGGCTTTGCAGTATTACACGATTCAGTTTTAAATGGTTAATATGTATTTTTTTTAAACAAAACAAAATGAATCCCTATAAAAAACCTCACCCTACTTTGTGCTTTCCTCAGCATCTGAAAGAACACCCCAGCCACTTCTCTGTGACACATTTGCTGCCTCTAAATGGCAGCAGCAATTGAATGAACCTGTCATTGGTCATCGCAGCCTTATAAAAGCGCTGAGCGTGCTGCGCACTTTGGCCACACGCTTCGTCACTGCTGGTTTTGACGGCGCTATGCAGTTGCTAATTTTTGTTTTAGGTTTTGATCCCACGTCTCTGTCTCCCTGTTGCCCCTTCTCATTTTGGGCTAAGGAAGCCATAGATGGATATTTTCTATGCATATTATCACTAAAGCTAAGACTCTCCGAAGTTTCCAAACACAAAAAAATCTAACTCAGAAAATTTACTTTTTGTAATATTACAAAATGAATCCTAAATTGTTGGCTTAACCACATGTATTGAAGTTGCAATGCAGCAACTAGCCAAAACAACTAACAAAATGCGTAACATTCTTTATTCCTTATTCTAGAAATTAGCGTTCTGTAGAACTGGTTACATTTGGTCTGAGCAGGTGTCACTAGGTCACTTACATAGCTCTGAAGGAGCCGTCAGTTTTGTGCTCATCAACATTCAGTAATTTTATTGATTCTAAGACGCACATTTTTTCCCCATTGTAACACTTCTGAAATTGAAATGTGACTTACAGTTGATGACAAGTCATGACTCGCTGGTAGTATCTTGTGTTACTTAGAGGAACATACGGTAATAGTGCATCATAAAGTTGAGATATCTTAGATTTGATGAAATGCAGTACTTGGTTAGCTGTATCCCACTATGAATGTGTATCACTGATTAGCATGAAATGATGCAATGGGAATGTAATGGACGTATCTGGCTTTCTGTTAATAATAATTTAAAGAACTAACTAATCCCACGAGTTGAGGTAAGTTAAATGGCTACCAATATTTGCTCTATTGGGTTAAAGGGAAACAGGCATCTTCGAGGCCTTCTGTTTGTCTCTGTGTGAGGACGTGTTTTTGTCAGTTGCAGACTTTGGGCTATGATGAGCCTCAAAGGGTATATTTTTATCATGAAGTCTGAAAATACAAAAGTCTGTTTGTAGAGATCTGAAGGAATAAAGGATCCAAAACTTAATCATGGCTACATTTAAAAATAAAGTTAAAAATTCAGTTAAGTTTCCTTAATACCTTTTGAACCAACCAAGTCTCAAAACGTGGATGCTGGTGAGTTTTCTCATTCAGGCAAATCATACCTGGCCCTGAGGTTCGGAAGCGCCTTGTACCGTATCCACAACGTGGAGTCCTAAGGCGACTAAGTCTTCTTGTTTTTGAGACTATTAAACTGCCGAGGAGCATACTTACAACCGCAGCATGAACACCTCCCGCCCCACCTCCCCTCATTTCGCTCGAGGAAGCACGTACATGGCGATAACTTGCTGCTTTTGAAAATGTCAGAGCTGATGCCTTTAAAAATGCCTTCAAACACTAGGGAAAGTTCAAACGATAAAACATGGCAAGATTTTCCAATCAACATATTTTCTGTTTCAAAAAGTATTTTCTTTTTTGCTGATTATAAAATTAATAGCTATTCAGTGTAAAGTATTCATATATGTGATTCTCATTGTCACAGCATTGATAACCATAGTTAGTGACCGAGTGCGTGTCCTTCCTGATTTTTCTATGACTGTTATATGCGAGCAGGTGCATGCCTGTTGCGTGTGAGTGCCTGTGTGCGCACACACATGTTTACTACAGCAACTGTGCTTCTTAGGGTGCCTTGCATTTCACTGCTGTTGGGAGTTGGTTGTTTAGATGTCCTACGTTGGCTCCTGCGGCTTCTGTGCACAGGCAGGGTTTCTGGAACAGCGTTTTATCCTGACATCATGGCTGCACCGGTTTCTTCTCTTGTGTTTGGATGCTCTCTGACACCCAGTGGTCAACAGAGAGGAAGCTTCACCAGATGGTGGTCCAAATCAGGCAGCCTTCACATCCCTCTTAAAATGAAACTTATTTGCATTGTTGTTCTAGGCAAAAAACCAGGAAAGGGTATTGGTAATTTTGAGTCCTATTTGGGCTTCCACTACATTCTCAGCAATAAGGAAGAGCAAATTCATGAATGTGCAGCCAGACACTCCTCTCAGACAGAGAGGACTCTCCTCCCTCCCAGCTTGTGCCCAAAGGGGCAAACATTTTAGAGGGAAAACATGAAGAACTGTCATGTCCAAAGGCTCACTGTTCTAGGGAAACATCCGGATTACGTTCAATGAGGGCCAACTGTCTCCCTTCGTACTGCAGGACGTTTTATTTGTGTATTTATGTATGCACGCATGTATTTATTTTTGCTGTACAGCAGTTGCTTTAGCACACGTAGACACAGCTTAGGTGAGTCCAGACTAAATGGTGGGTCTCAGCGTCAAGATGATGTGGCGTTTAAAACTGGAACATAAAATCTCCCATTTTCATGCTTTAAAAATGGAGAATCTCAAATTTTTGTCTTTGAACAGTGTGGGGCCCTCATTCATATATTTGTCTTGGTTTTCCGAGTATCTGTGTGCCCACAGTGACAGCGTCCTATGTTCCGCTGGTAACCTTACAGAGTCCTGGAGGTGATTCCTGCTGGAGTAAGGGCAGAGCGGGGCTTGGGTGCTGGGAGCGACCGTGAGAAGTATGGGAGGCGGGAGCAGAGGCCACACGCTGGGGCCTGCGGCTGGGCAGGTTTCTTACGATCTGTCCGCAGAGCCCAGGGGGTGGGAACTGACTAGCTAAGCACAGATGGCTAGGACGCAGGCGCGCTTAGAACAAATAAAATGGGACAAATGAGGGCCACTTAGGAGATGCTTCTGCAAGGAAATGAGAAGGGACCAGGCAGCCATTCACTCGGGCCTTATGCAACTGGGAACCCTCCGGTGTTCGAGGAGTACACTGGGCGGTGAAATAGTCTCGCCGTGCTCAGTTCCCTGCACGATGTCCCTTGGCGGCCGGGCGTTTCCCTTCAATTATTGTGCATTTAAGAGAAAGAAGGTTGTTTTTGTGAATCGTCATTATTTTATCCTGGCTTCTTTGGGTCGTCCAAGGCTCTTGATGGTGCTGCTGGCTTTCTGGGCCCTGAGAGGGTCTGCAACTAGGAGATGTTGTGGTCATGGGGACACCGGCCCCACGATGGGGTGACAGCTCCCCCACAGCAGCCAGGAAATGTCTTAGGTGGATTCCTATGTACCTTTGAGTCTGCTCCCTTGTGGGTGACCCACGCTTTGATTATTGATCTGAAGACTTAGGTTTTCCTTGTGCTTTTCGGTGTTCACCTGAACGGCAGATGCACGGCACCTCTGCGGCTGCGAGCAGCCCGCCTAGCTGGGGGGAAGCCAGTGGGGATGTCACCCTTTGTGGCAGAGCCAGGCATTTCAGGCCTGGAGCTCCTCACATAAACACGCAGCATCCCTGGCTCCAGGCAGTATTGGAAAGAAGGCTTACGTTTTTGTTTTACGTTTTCAAACTTACAAATGTATAACGGTTGACATCAATGCTTCTCTTTCTCAGAAATAACCTGGAGTTTGCCAGAAAACTCTGTAAACAGAAGTCTTACTGTGTATGAACTGTAAACTTTTCTCTCCAGGCGTTGAGGGGACCTTAGCTTTACTTTGCAGCTGGGCTACATCAGAAGTGTGCATTCAAACACTAACTTCCTTAACTGGAAAAAGAATGCTTCTCTGTCTTCAAAATAGCTTTGCTATGTGACATTTGTGCAGTCGTGCATTTTACATCAGTGCTAGCTCTCCTCTTTACTTACTTGTTTGATTTGGCAGGTCATGAAGGCGTTGGCTGCGCACACACACACACACACACACACACACACACACACACGCTCCCATATACACATTTATAAGGAATTTTTCTTTTATACTTTACCTTTAATTTTCACTGTACTTGGCTTATAGTGAAATGCACAGCCTTATTTTTGAACTATGTTCTGACAGAATTTAATTGCCATTTGGCCTAAGAATAGAAAACTCTCAAGGTTTTAAAATTTGGTTTCTTCTTTGACTAGTTAGCACTGAAGCGATTAGAGGTGAAGGGGCAGTGATTGAAACGGGGAAAAAACAATTCATTTCATTTTAAATTATCCAAGGGTGTAGCTGACGTCTGGGACTCCGAGTGCAGTTTATGACGTCCTCTCGTGGATATCATTTCATTTGTCCCTCGCAAAGCCGTAAGTGACCGCTGTGTCCATAGGACGGTGAGGACACAGGCGCAGAGTTTGAGGCAGTTTCCGCCTGGAAGCTCTTTTCTCTTTTCTGTCTGTGGCCGCGCTGCGGTCACACCTAGCCCCTGGCGCGGGGAGCAGAGTAACAGGCACATCCTAATTAGTTCTCTTTTCTCATCTTATTATTAAAGATATATGTAAGTTGCCGAAAGAAGGAGGGACTTGCAGGGATTTTATACTAAAATGGTACTATGACCCAAAGACCAAAAGCTGTGCAAGGTTCTGGTACGGAGGCTGCGGCGGAAACGAAAACAACTTCGAATCACAGAAAGAATGTGAAAAGGTTTGCGCTCCTGGTAAGTGAGTCTTCTTCGTGTTTCTGGCTTCTGCAAATGAGAAGAAGTTCAGGTCAATAAGTTGCCTTTGGGAAATATTTGAATTGAAATGATTATGATATATATGAAAAAGATAAATTATATCCTCAGATAAGAAAGATATTCAAACAAAACACATAAAATTGTTTTTTGAATTATTATTTTGTTTCCTAAAAACATACTCATATCCTTGTATTTTTGCCAGTGAGAAAACACATGGCAACTACTTGTCGCTCTTCAGAAATGTTACTAAGTCCCTGTTACTCATAAAATACTGCACCAAACACGATTACTGGGAAAACAATGTAATGGACAGTTATAGACAACACGGAAGATAGATGACCCCCACATATTCATCTTTAAATAATTTCGCTTCCTATAAATAATAACGTTGACTCCGGGGCCATCCACTCTCTCCATTATATTGGGAAACTTGATTGGTAACAAAATAAAAACTTGGAGCAGAGCCTGGGTTCAGCACCAGAACGGGGAGGGTGTGGTTTGCACCGAGGCCTGGGGCGTGCCGCAGGGCGCAAGGACGGACTCAGACCGCACAGGCAGCCCCAGCCCAGGCCCAGAGGGCCACAGGGAGCTATTGACGGTACTGAGCAGAAAAGTGAGAGAGGTATGAAAACCAGAGGTGGTGGGATCATGTCATGATGAATCCGGTGTCCTTTCTGCTCAGTAACGTGGCTTTTCTTCTCCTCCTCTCTGCCGGCCCCTCTCCCCGCCCACCCACCGCTCATCGCCCAGTGCCCGCCAAGCCTGAAGTCCTGAGCGCGATTGGAACCTAAGCGTGGCTCGCCAGCGACATATACCTCTTGAGGAAGAAGGAGTCAGCCGTTGCCAACTCGTCTCTGTAGAAGCTCCGGGTGTAGGTCCCCTGGCACTGTACCATTCCACGCTTTGATTTACACTCGAGCCGGGGAGGAAGCCTTCTGCTGCATGCCCTCTCGATATGGTGCTAACTGTGTCTGTGGACCCGGCACTCTCGTCTCCCGGCAGTTCTATCGTATGCCTTGAACATTGTGTAATAGTTACCCACTGCTGGTGGTGATGTGAACATTCCTATACACTCAGCTTCCCTCTGGAGTTCCGTGTTGTGCCTGTTTTAGGCAAATGTAAAGTCTAGAAAATAATCCAGATGTCACGGCTGCTCTATATCCTTTCGCTTGGTTCATTTTTTCTCCTCTTTCTAGTTAAGCGAGACTTTAGATGGAAAGCCTGTGTATAGCGGAGAAACAAGCGTTCAATTTGTCATTCCCCCCTAACTTCCTGGATTAGCGTTCGAGCTAATTTTCTTTTTCTGAGGCCTCTAACAAATGATGTAGTTAGAAAGAAGCAAAATCCCTTGCTCTGTGTGCACCTTTGGGACCAATGCCTTAATTAAAGAATTAAAAGAAAGTCATAATAGAGAATATTTTTGGCATTCCTCTAATGTTGTGGTTTTTTTCTTTTGTGCGGGGTGGGGGATTAATTTTAATTTTAAAATTTTTAGGAAATTTATACAAAGAAACTTTTTAATAAAGTCTATTGAAAGTGTTGTGGGTTTGGCGTTCTTGGCCGTCTTGCTTCCGGAGCGTGGGTTGTCAGAATCCCCCCCAGGCTGGGGCACTTGGCCCAGTTCTGGCTTATGGTCCTGGGCACCCAGTGGAGGGGGCAGAGAGCTCCGGCAGCCAGCATGTGCAGGGACCAGGTGGAGACAAGCCACCCTTCCCTGCGGATTCACCCACATGCTCCGGCACGCCACGGCCAGGGAGGCTGCTCCTTGCCAGGGGCCCTGGAGTCTTTCTGGTTGGAAGGGCCAGGCTGGCTTCCGCCTCCCCTGCCTCTTGGCTTCCCGCAGAGCTTCAGCCTCCTCCCTGCCCCCCTCCCTGCAGTGGTCCTTCCCTGAGGTTTCCTCGCTCCCACCTGCTGCGGCTGGGGGTGCGATGTGTCCCCAGGACTCCCTGCCCTTTCCTGGAGTCTCAGAGACAGAGTATGAGGTCTGCTTTTGGTCTTTTCCCGTTAAAGACCTTTTTCTCTTGTCTTCAGAAATAACACAAGAAATCAACAAATTCATATTCAGATGTCACCTGAATTCCATTTAGGACGAAGATTGAATTTATTTAACAGAATAACACATACCCTGAAAAGTGCCGTAGGTAGAATTAGGGCTCTCGGGTGTGAGCAGAACTGTCTCATGTAAGGGCAGAGGGTGACCTTGCCGGCTGGTCTATTGGGAGGGGAGGGAGGAGGAGGAGGAGGTGTGCAGAGCTGGAGGGGTGAGGGGAGACGAGGTCGTCACAGGACCACTCCCTGGGGTGCCCATCCTGATCCTGGAGGGAAATTTCTGAATTCTCGGAGTGCTCGGAGCAAGTGCATCTTCGTGGAAACTGGTCGTGGGGGGTTGGGGGTGGGGAGCTGAGCCTCGTGCGGAGTCACCCGGGAGAAGTGAGAGGCGATGAGGGCCGGACGCCTCTGCCTGGAATTTGTGGGGACCTTCACATCTACGACCTTGGGGGTTTGAGTTTACCTGCATCTTGTTGGGATTGGGAGGGCCCAGTTGAACCTCGGGGTGGCTTCAGGGGAACTGCAGAGCTTTGGGGCCTCCATGAATCCCTGGACCACCTCTGCTCACATGGCCTCCAGAAGTCCCGGGGGATGCATCCCTCTGTCACCACTCTGGGAGAGGGACGAAAGAGCGAGCCATCCCCGCTCTGACAGCCCTTCCACCTCTGGACCATGCCTACCGCTCCCCATCTTGGAAGACTCCCTTTTTAGCATAAGGCCAGCCCAGTGGGCCCACAAAGAGCCCAGTGATGGTCACAAGTTCCCTTCAAATGGACATTCAAGCTGGTCAGGGAATGTGCACCTTGGCACTTTCCTAGGGACCCACCTCAGAGCCCCCAGCTTACATAGGAGTAGCCCCGCCCACAGAAACACGCTGCAGTGTCCCAACGAGTTCACCCCGCTGCAGCCAGGAGGCGTGGGTAGTGGGGCGTAGAGGGGCTCTCTGGCGTGGCGGAGGGGTGTCAAACACCAAATAGCCTGTGTGAGCTTGCCAGAGCTGCCCCAACAGAGTACCCCAAACTGGGTGGTTTAAAACAGCAGAAATTTATCCTCTTGCAGTTCTGGAGGCTGGAAGTCCAAAATCAAGGTGTTGACAAACCACGCTCCCTCTGAAGCCACAGGGGAGACCCCTTCCTTGCTGCTTCCTGCCTCTGGTGGTTGCTGCAGCCCTTGCATTCCTTGGCTCACGCCACGTGACACCAGGCTCTGCCTCTGACGTCACGTGGCTTCTCCTTGCGTGTCTGTCCTCACACGGCCGTCTGTCTGTCTCGTACAGACATCAGCCACATGGGACTGCAGTATGCCCCCGTGTTAATTAATTACATCTGCAACGACCCTGCTTCCAAATAAGGTCTCATCCTGAGGTACCGGGGTTTGGATCTTCGACACATCTTTTGGTGGGTGACACAGTTCAAGGACACAGCCTCAGCATTTCCAAAACCCGCTTCCCGCTGTGCTGTGTTGACCTACCGCTGACCACCAGGCAGCAGCTGCAGCGATGGGAGCCCAGCTGAATTCTGTCACTGCTAGTCGTTTTCAGCTACTAAAACCATCACTCTCGGATCTTGAGGCTGGTCCTGTCCATGGTAGAGTTTAAATCTCGGATCCAGTTCAAAGCTTCTCTGTTCTTAACCCAGTGCAGGCTGACCCACGGCTCCGGTGGGGTTTGCGTGGAGAGGTCCCTGGCCTGCCCTCCAACCCTCCCTCTCTGCCCTGCAGGGCGGTCTGCGGCGCGGCTCTTGCTGGGCTCCCAGGGGAGGTCTGAGTGGACTTCCCATCGGTTGCTGCTGCTCACTCTTCGCCTGTCCTGCCCTGGCTCCAGTCTGGGGCAGGTTCCCTCTGCCGACTCTCGGGCATATATGGTTCTCCGCAGGAGTCTGTGGCTCTTGGCGAATCTCCTCTTCCCTCCTGCAGCCTCCTGTGAGGTAGGTCCACCCCCAGCCTCTTGGTCTTGGCTCCTTTACCCAGGAGACCAGCCTCTTAGGGGTGCAACAAAGTTGGCTCGATCTAATCTGCAGAAAACTCACATGGCCTTGTCACACCAGCTGGCCTCCCTCTTTCTGCTCAGCTGCCTGCAGGTCCAGCGGTCAAGCACACGGTCAGCTGAGAGCTGGTCTCAGCCCTGGACTTGGTTGTGGCGGGAAGGAGTGAGTCAGACCTGCCCCAACTTCAGGTGTTTCTCTTCGGGCCTCTTGGGCCCCCGACACTGGGGAGGGGATCAGCTGAACGCCCCTCCCTTTCCTCTTGCTAGGTGAGGGAGGAGTGTGGCCCCTTCCAGAAGCATGTTTTACCCCGTCGAGGTCACCATGGCCTTCTCCCCATCCCTCTTCCATCTCAGCAATGACCGTGGTGTAGTCAGTTCAATGTGCTCTGAGCTGCGGCCTGTGGTGATCAACCCTGGGAAAGTGGGGTGCGTCAGGTTCTAGGAACTTGGGGAGCAGTGAGCTCTGGGCCCAGCTCCCCTAGGGATGGGCTGAGCCCTGCATTTCTCCAGGGATCCCCCTATTGGTTCATGGACATGAAGTGAGCATCACAACACGGTTTCAGTACTAGGGTTCCCCCAGACGCAGCCCCCAGGACTAAGGCTGTAGTTTATTTGGGAGGCGAAGGGAGTCCCTGAGTGGCTGGGGAGTGGGGAGTGACATGGGGAAGAGAAGGCTGCTGTTAAAAGGTGTGTCGTTAGTGTCTGCTGAGGGTGGCTGGAGCCTGAGTCCCGTAGGGAGACTCTGGGAGCCCCTGGGGCACGTGTGGCTCAGATCCCGGCAGAGCGGGGGAGGGGGAGCTGGGGTATTTACGCACCTGCTCCCGCCTGCCGCTGGCTGCTCCTGGGCAGGCAATGTTCCGGTTCTCTTGGCTCGTACACACCCTGGCAAGGGGGCCTTCTGTGGTGTAGGAGAATGTTCTTGGCAAAGACTTGCAGGTGCTCACATGTGGAGGCCTCTGGAGCCCGGGGACTGGCCAGGCCCAGGGTGTACAAGTGGGACACCATTATTTGTAACTTACCTGTAGGGTCTGCTCCAGGCATGTTCCAGAGAAGCTGGGCTGGGGCCCATCTCTGGAGGACTCACTCCCAACTGCTCCGGAGGCCGGACTCCCCTCCCTTCCTGCCTCCTGTTGCCAGCATGCCCGCCTCGCCACTCTGGGTTTGGTTCACTCCATTCCTGCACTGCTTCTCTGCGCCTGTCCCTGGGCTGTGCAAGGATGCTGGGACAATCACACCCACAGTCTCACCTGGGTCAGGAGAGCAGGAGACGACAGAGGTCTAGGTGAGCGGCTGGTTGGGCTGGCTGCGTGTGGGGAACTCAGGGGGAAGCAAGGCTCTCGGGCAGTGGATGGGCAGTTTTCCCCATTTATTCCCACAAAGCAAATAAACAAAATCCTTTGTTAGGTCCTCTGTCCCAAATCAGGGCTCAGCAAAGCATGGTCTGTGTTGCAGGACTCCTGACCCCTTGATAGCCTGTGCATTTCTCCTTCCAAGACCCGTCCTTTGCTAGACCACGCTGAGGACTCTGCGTCCTTCCTTGAACCCTGGCGTGTCCCTGACCCTAACATCCACTCGGCTCTCTCTGGGGCAGCCTCCAGCCTGGTCGTGTGGAAGGTGGCTTGCCAACAAAGAACACCTGTTTTGGATTTTCTGAGTAAGAAATAAATTTCTATCAGGGTAAGACATTGAGGACTTAGGCTGTTCGAGCAGCTAGTGTGACCTTAATGAACACAATTCACCTGTATCTCGTAGCTGTTGTGGGTCAGGTGCTGCTCTAGGTGCTTCACACGTATCTTAGGGGGCACTGTTCAGTAGCAGCCATTATCCTAGTCTTACAGATGATGAAACAGAGGGTCAGAGCGGTCTAGTTTACCCGGCTATGTCCTAATGGAGCATCTGAGCAAGTTATCATGACCCAGAAGCTCTCTCAGAGGTTCAAGGTCATATTGGTTCCTCCTGGACCCTCATTGTCAGGCTTCTGTTTCCCCGGAAGTGGGATCTGAGCCCTGTGTCTTCTCCCAGAGCAGAGCACGCCTTCCGAAGGACCCTCCGTGGCTCTCCTTCCTTCGCCTGAGCTGCTCTGGCTCTGGGCAGGACTTGGAGAGGCTGGAGGCTCTGGCACGTGTTTAGGGCTTGTGCGGGAGGCGGCCTGGGCTGAGTGCGGCCTGCTTGGGCTCCGAGGCCGAGTCATGGGACATCTGTTTGGACTCAACTACTAGCACGTCTCCATGCTTTCATCAGCATCTTTGCTGGAGTTGTGAATACAAGTGCTTTCTGCTTTTTGCTCCCTCTTTACAATTTTCCACATAATTAAAAAGAGATCACAATACGTGTGAACGAGTGCCAGGCTTTTTGTAGGAAGCCAGTATTATAAACCCTCAAATGCATTTGAAATTCCTCCTCCCAACCCCGGTGACTCATTTTTAGGGGATGGTTAATATTTTCCTGCCAAATTCCCCTGGTTGTCAGATTTCCAGCTGGACCTAGCTGTTCTTCAAGAGCCAG